ATTAGACGTTGAATCATTTTCCCCTTATTGGATCAGTTTGCCAAGTTATGTTCTGATCATGACTCTTCATGCAGCAGACTCCCTGCTCTGCATGGATGAAAATATTCCTTAACATCACATTGCAAGCATCACTGCATAGGTTCACGAGAAATGTGGAAGAATAAACACACTTGTGACCACACACACTTACGATGCTTGACACCACAGATCTGTGTAGGACATAAAACACTTGAGGACCAGCATGAATACTGAGTTATAGATGTTTATGGAAATTGAGGTTTGGGTGAGAAATGTCCTCCCCTCCACCTTCCGCTCATGTGTGTTTAACCACTTGGTCTCTAGTTGGTGGCACTGTTTGGAGAGGCGAAGGAACCTTGGGGACTGTGACCTGGGTAGTGGAAGTTAGTTGTGGTTGGGCCTTAATTGGGGTGTCTGTTCCTGGTTCCAGCCATAGCTCTCTTCTTTCTAGTCAAGCCACAAGGCAAATAAGCTAAAGAACAGGGTGGTCATAGACTGAGTTACATCATGACATCCATGCCATGATGGACTGTAGCCCTCGAAACTCTGATCCAATATGTATCTTTCCTTCCTTAAGTTACTGTGTCAGTATTCTGTCGTGACAATGAAAAAAAAGAGCCTATATAGTAAATAAGAGAATATCACTAGAAGCCATGTCTTTTCTGCCTTGAACTACCGGATAACCTAGAAGCAAAATTCTATATGACTATGGTCTTTAAAAACATTAATAATTTTGTATAGGTTCAATGTAAAGATTTGGAAGCCTTGAGACAATTAAACATGTATTGTCTTCAATAAAATGTTTTTATCCCAATTAAAATAGGACTACATAGTTGGATTTCTTTTGTACCCTGAAGTACTATATAAAACAATTTAAGAATTAAGAGGAGGAAGCCCAGAATCGTGCCTCATGAATTCTTGGTTAGTAAAATATTATTCCCCCACAAACATTTCTCATTAGGAATTGATCATCGTAGAATAAATGTACATGAAAAACTCACATATATATGGGTGGGTCCATGTTTTTCCCTAGTACTTGATGCTATATGTGTTTTAACTTCAACTTAACACTTCTGTAACGTCTCCTAGAACATGCAGTGTGATTCAAAGCCAAACAATATTAAATACAGTGGGAAAGCATTAGTTATGGAGGACACGGCATTTGCATAACATATTGCAGTTTCATCTAATGGGAGAATATCTTAGTTACCCAAATATTTCACAATGGATATATTATGTTAACAAACAAAACAACGGCTAACCTAGAGGCTATGCACAAACAGAAACTTACAACGAAATGTACAGTGAATATTATTCCTCCACTGGTTTCCTCAGCAAACAGAGTTTGATTGCTGAGTTCTTCTTGGCATGATGAATCTTTTGTGTTTTATTTCTAACTATAGACACTGAGATCTGTCCCTCTGCCATGCCAGTGTTTTCTTAGAACAGAGTCGTATTTCAGTGAACATAATTAAACCATCACTAACAGAACCTTCCATTAGTCAGAGCAGAGAGTTACTGCTCTTGCTTGGTAGATGTGTGGCAAAGTAGTTTACGTTCTCCTGGAGGGAAAAGGACACTAAATATTTCATGAGCTCTTCTCAATCTGATTGTTTATTTCACAACATTTTAAAGAGATACTTAATTTTTTGAGCTCTATTTTTGTCATCCTGTTAGAGAAATAGATATTAAGGGCAAAATTTGCATGGGATGCCCAAAGCTGGTATTTTCTCGGAACAAGGCTTACTGTGCACATAAAAATAAATCTCATGATGTTCTCCAGAAGATGCCCTTGGCATTTGATGTGTTTTCTGAAGCTATATTCTGGTAATGTTCTGTATCTAAGGTGTGGGGAGGCTGGGATTGTAATTTGATTGCTCTGGTTTGATATTTAGGTTTTATGCTAAATTAAAAGTAGACACTAGAGGGTGCTGTTTGATCTTCTTTTTCACAGGTCTGTCTGCCGATGTCAGTAAATCCATGCTCTGAAAAATCCCCCAGCAATGAGATAGGAGGTGTAGAGATACCTTAAGGTTTGGGAGAGAGTCAGAGAGGTTCTAACAGGGTAGCTTCTTAATTAATTCAGAATTAGTAATAAGCAATGCTTTGTATCCCAGCCCTGGTGGTTGTTATCTTTTGAAAATTACTTAATTCCTTTGGTTGCAAAGAATTTTATTAGATTTCAAGCTCTCGCTAAATGTCAAATGGTTCTAAAAATAGTTGGAATATTAGACTATGTTAAATAATTAGTGCTCTCAAACTCTGCCATGAAGATTTTGAGTAAAGCACATTCCTAATACTTGTTAAGAAACCAATTATAGAATCCCCAACTCTCACAAATACCATATCCTCGCTCCCCAATATTTCCCTTGGTATCAAATACCCAGTCAAGAAGCTTTTCAATTGAATTTCTCTCTCTTCTACCCTTTGCTGAGCACATTCTCTCTCCCCTTTCTTCCTTGAGTACAAGGAAAAGACAAAGTTCTAAGATTATCTTGTTGTTTATTTGTTTGAGATAGGTTCTCACACAGCCTGAAATAGCCTTGAACTCCTTAGGTTACAAGACCTAGCTTTGAACTCCTGATTCTCCTGCCTCTACTTTCTGGGGATTAGGATAATTAGGATATACCACCATACCTGGCTTCCACATTTTCTAAGTCATCTGTCGTGGGGCTTGTGTTTATCTAGTATAATTTTTTTAAACATAAGAATATTTGAGGGCTAGCACCATGGCTCTTCTGGGAAAGACATTTGCCATCAAGCCTGATGACCTGAATTGGATTCCTGGGACTGGGGTTGAAGGAGAGAATCAACTGACTTCCAATGTGGGTGGGTTAACACATATGGACAAATACATAAATATGAGGCAGAAACCTTCAGACTATTCAAAGAAAAGTATATGTTCTCATTTCACAGGGAAGAAAACGAAGATGAGGCATTGAGGGTGTTAAACGATTTGTATTTGGTGCAGACTGTGAGATGGCTCAGAGCTGGGTCTTGGTTTTTCTACCTTCAGGGAAATGGGCTAAAGGGCCTCTCTGTGTGTTGTATAAGGGTATTTCTCAACTCAGAGAGAAGTGCTTGCCCCGAAGACATCATGGAAACCATCGCTGCTCATTTCCAGTCTCCCCTTACAGTCTCAGGACCAGTTGCCAACTCACAGGGTCTCTGAAAGGTAGTTATAGTCACATAACTTGCATTAGCCAATGGAATGGGGACAGTAACAGTAAGTGAGACTTCCAGGCAGAGAAGTGACAGAGGTGGACAGAATATGATTTTGCATCCCCTCTTCTTTTGAAGCCACATGTTGATCTGGCAGCATCAAAATATAATGTCCCCTCCATCAACCTTCATTCCAGGAGGCCAATGAACAGTGGAATCCATGAACATGAGCAAGAAGTAGCCATTTAAGCCTCTGAGATCTCGGAGTCTTGTGCTATGGTACCATAGTATGACTTATTCCAAGCACTTCAGACAAAAAAGAAAACCAGAGGAATAAAATTGTGGTCAAAAAGATCAATTTATTTTAATTGATATATGTATTATGGTATGTACCTGTGTGTGTATGCTCACATGTATGTGAGTATGTATGCGTGTGCACTTTTGTGTGCATGTGTTGGTGGTCCAGAATTGATAGCAGATGTTTCTCTATCACTCTCCAACTTATTCCTGAGTCAGTCTCTCTCAGCTGAACCCAGAGCTCACTGATCAGATAAATTCATTAGTCATCTTGCCCCAGGAATCCTATCTCTGCCTCCTGAAAGTTGAGAGTACAGTGGATCACTATACCTTCCCAGCTTTTACATGGGTTCTGAACTCTGGTCCTCTTGTTTGTCCATTAAGTATTTTATCCCCTGAGCCCTCTCCTCAACCCAAATATTTACTTTAAAGGCTCAAACCAAAACATAGTATTAAATTTGGTAACTTCTAAAAACATTGTTATGTGAATCAATAAAGATAAATAACTAAGTAGTATTTAATTTCCTTCTTGATGTTTTTGATCACACTTTATCTAAGGCACTCAATGAGACCTTATTGTGTTTGACCCCTCTGATGCATTTGCCAAAGCCCTGGCCTTCCCTGGGGTGGATGGAGGTGGTGCAACAGCTCAACCTAGTCTTCTGATCTCAAGGAGCCAGGACTTGAAGTTTTCACATAAACAGAGAACACGCAGCCAATCAACAGTTTCTGTCCCAACAAGCATGAATATTCAGAGTTGGCTTGGATTGATCGGCTTGAATCCTTCAACCACATTCACTATTTCCCCCAAAGACCCCAAGGTGTCCAAGCTGAAACACACACTTATTGGTCTCCATCTGTCTCCATCCTCCTCCTAGCTCCAAGGCACCTGTGAGTGCACAAACCTAATGGAACTTTCTGATCCTCCTAGCAGGGGTAGCTCAGGGTTACACCTCACTTCCTCAGCTCAGTGACTGAGAGATGCAGGTGCCTTGGACAAGTAAAATGACAGCCATTGCTCAGAGCTGGTAGACAAAGAAGCTACACATTTTTTACTCAGCTTTTCAGAGTTCCAAGAACAACAAAAAATTTAATTGCCACCCATTTGAATCCAAGATAATTTCAAAACAAACTTGAAGTATGGTTTCCTATGTTTATAACCTTCAAAAGGGAGATACCCCAGAGATAGATTTAGCAGGCCGTATATCTTGTGGTTAATAATAGTATATGCTTATGTACCACCTACAAAGGAGGATGCTGCCTGCCTCACTTTGGCAGAATACATTTGTGCTCTGAGGATGCTCTGTGAGCATGTACCAACAAGGACATCACCCACACACTAAAGATCTGGCTGACGATGCCTACCCAGCCCAGTGGCTACTGCTGTTTTCTTAATGCTAGCATGCTACTAGTCTACCTATAGAACTTTACATCAATAGGAGTGAGTCCAGACACCAAATAATGAGAATACTTGAACACAAAGTTTATTTAAGGATAAAACACATTAAAAGTATTTGGTTGATTTGTAAAAAGTGAAGGACTGAGTTTGAGTGTGGGGATGGGGTGGGTGAGGTTCTCCAGGTCTGCAAACATTATATCCAGTAGCTGAAGCTGGCATGGCAAGGTGGAGGCCGCAGTAGGTGGGGAAGGAGCTAAGCATGGACAGAGGGCAGTGTTTGCACAGCAGAGACCACACTTCCTTAGAGGAAGTCATAGCTATAATCCAAAGTTACAATGATAGACCTGTCTCTAACCACTGGGGTCCAGAAACCGCAGGGGACAGACTGAGTTTTCTGGCCGGATTTCCCATCAGACTCCTGTCAGGCTTTCCCTGACTGGCTTTTGGCTTGAACCAAGGTCTTCAGTGGCAGCTGTTTGGACATTTAGGGTAAATACATTTTTCCCCCAATGGCTTTGAAAAGCTATCATTGCATACCGTGGAAGAGGAGCCAGGGACTTCAGTGTCCTCCAGATCTGACTGCGGGAGGAAGGTACCATGAGTTTGAAAGGCTGTACACATTCAAACAGGTTTTGACTTGGGAACACATACTTTTTATACCTACAGGGACTGAAGGAAGCACCTTGAGTTCATTATGAGGTTGTGCCTGATTTATAGACAAAATTCCATAGTGTTATCTGGGTCATGATGAGAAGCAGTGTCCAAACTTGAAGTTCGACTGAAGAATTGGAGGCTGTGGACAGAAAGGGGCATAGCAAGAGCATGTCAGTTCAACAGGCTTCAGACCTGCCTGGTAGCACTCAAATAAAAAGCAATGTCTTGGGAAAATCCAAAAGGCTCTGGTTAAGAAACAAACAAACAAACAAAAAAACAGGTTAATCCAAACTTTAAGAGAGCCCTGTGCGTCTCAGAAGGAGACCAAGGAAATCAGATGCCAAAGGCTTTCTGTCTGTTTGGTTTTGTTTCTTTTAGACAGGGTCTCACTGTAAAACCCAATATGACCTGGAACTCATGAGCCTCCTGCCTCAGCCTCCCAGTGACTAGGACTACAGGGACTTCAGTGTAAGAGGACTTGGCTAAAGTTTTATGATCAACACATAGCCTAGAAATTACTGAAACAATTTTGTTTTAACTGTCCACATCTTTTAGATGAAAGACAAGGGGCCCAAGGTGCTCTTTTGGGGGGAGGGGTTCTGGAATTCCTTGGGTGTCCTCTGTCTTTCTCTGGGGCTGTCACAGACAGGATGTAAAGTGAGCTTCAGCTGAGTTTCTCTATGTGACTACAGAGCTTCTATGTCACTTAGCTGGCCGTTCCTCCAGAAGAAGCCCACCTCTGCAGCTCCTGCCATCCTCCTGCAGGGATCCAGTCACACAGCTGCACAGAGGCCCGTCTACCCGGCTGGTGCAGATCTGCTCACATCCCCCATTGTCCTCACACCAGTCCAGTCCTGAAATCGAGCATGTGGGAGACTTAATGATAGAAACATCAACTCTGCAACTCATGATCATGGCAGGGGTGGGGGCATTAAAGAGAGGAAAGAAGAAAGAGTTGTTAAAAGCCAATGAAAAGCTTTTCCTGGAGGACACAGGCAGCCCACTCATACCAGAGTCTCCAGGGCCACCTCCTTAGATCCGCCAGACACACGTCACAAGTGAGGCACATCGCAGCCCCAAACTCCCATTGTCTTGGTAATTTATAGTGTGTTTTAGGGAACATACATACTTTTTCTCCTAATAGGTCCCACTGAAATGATCTGTTCTTTGGGCTCTTTTGTATAATCTGTGGCGATCCTGGAATTTTGTGGGCAATTCTAAAAGACAGAACACCAGAGGGAGATTTCACACAATTAAGCTGATAACTTATTCTTCACCATGTTTCCACCTCCAAGAGAGACAGAGGCTTCGGCCTCCAGCACTATTGCTGCTCAGATTAATTAGAACCAATGCATTCTTGATCATCGAGCCCACTGGGACTCTAGGCTTTATGTCAAGCAGAATTAAATATACTCTCCACATTAGAATGAGATTCAAAGAGGCTCTCTGCTCAGGAATGAAAATTGTTGGATTTCGTCTGATACTAATGTATGCGGTGCCATCTGATAGTAGCTCTGACCATAATTCACATCTTGCTTCTGTAAACATGAGGGAAGCATAAAGATGGAATGCGAAGGACTAGGAATAAGCATCTAGAGCAATACCATCTTGAAGGCATAACTATTGTGGTACGGATGTTAGTTTGGTATAGAGGAGATGATGGATTTGCTGCTTGTCCGCAACCCTACCCAGTCCCAGACTGTTAGACCCTAGTGCAGATATGAGGTGTGAGTGCTTGGCTACAATTGTATTATGAGTTTGAGTACCAGTGGAATGTGGCTCAGCCCATAGGCTATCCAGTTCAGGAAGCAAGACTCAATACACTCCTGGAGACTACTGTGATGGTTCTTACCCAAGCCTATTTTGTCTGTTCAGGGTATAGACATTCTTGAAGACATTTTCAAGGTGTTAAAACAGGAGATTAAATACTACTGACATCGAGAGGCCCATAAAGTTGTTAGCATCCTACAATGCACAGCTCAGCTCTCCTACATAGCATTTTGCCATCCAAGATGCCAACAGCTCCAGGAGCCCTTGCCTAGTGTGATGCCAATGGCCTTGTGGTAATTCAGAGACTGAGTAGTACATACACGGACATTCGCTATACGCTCTTCACCAGATATGACCACCCACTCTTGAGTGTGTTTGCTGGCTCCAATGCTGCCATCAGGTATCCACAATCACTGTGGGTCAGCCAGAGAAAGGCTGAGTACATCGTTTTTTTTACACTTACAATTTTGCAGGAGTATTTTTCTGAGTCACAGAGAGACACTGCACAATGAAGATGAACTTCATCATAGTCTCCGATGAATTTGAAGACCGTGACATGAAAACGACAGGTTAGGGACACTCCATTCTCCTCGATGCCAATGGTGTTATCTTTGATGTTCTGACATCTATTCAGGAAAAAAAAAAAACATGGACTCCTAGCTTTGTTGTTGTTGTTTTGTTTTTTGTTTTATTTGTTTCTCTTAGAGGCTAATCCTCATCTTCATTTCAATTTTTCATATTTCATACAAAATGGTGGCCACAAATGCTAAAAATGACTTTGCATTTGAAAGTGACTTCTGGATTGCTTCAGTGTGCCATTTATTATCACTCCTGCCTGTTTTCATTGTTTGTTTTGAAACATCATCAGCTGCCACCTTGAATTGCTATCCTAACAAAAACCACCAGTGAAATGTCTATGGGGACTGCTCTCAATTTCCCCACGCTTCAGGATCTCCGTCCGCCCCCTCACAGGGCTGTGTTCCACAGAAGACAATTTAACAAACACAAGCCCTACTTCCTCTGTTTTCTTCAGTTAATTATCGATGTTGGCAGGGGCCCTGATTCAAATCCCTTGGGGACTCTTCCTATGCTAAAGAAGGTAGGAGCTGGAGGGAAGGAGGAGCAGGATGGATGAGTCCCAGGGATTGTTTTGATGGAGGAGGACTGCCTCTTTTTCCCACCTCCCTGGCTTCTTGAGGTATCTCCAATACCTAGTTCCCACTGCCATTATATCCCCCAGGCATGGGGATTTTGCTTTCGTACCAACCACTTCAAAGTTCTCTAAACGCATTATAGTCTCTTTTGCTTGTGTCTTCATGCAATGCTTTCCCCACAGGAAGACCTTTCTGCTCTTCTTGGGCCCCAATTTACAGCACCCACTCCCATATAAGTATTTCTTATACACATGCCTGAAGCAGGGAGGAATGGGTAGCCTTTCCTGGATTTGACAGCAGGACCCTGTTGAGTTCCTCAAGTGTAGGGATAAAGTCATAGTCACCATTGTGGCTCCTGCACACTACACGGCATATGGCAGATATTTGAAATGAATGAGTGAGTGAGTGGGTGAGTGACTGAGTGAGTGAAGGAAGGATCCTGCCATGGCCACTGTGAGCCCATGGGAGCCAAAAGACGTTATAAGTGATAAAGATTTTTAAAAGGTGCCTCTTTTTTCTTTCCATTTCTTTCCCCCAAGCCCACAGGATTAAATAGCTAAGCAATAAGGAAAATTAAAAATTGAAGTTATCCTTCAGCGTTCCCACACCTATTAGTTTTCGTAATTAGACAAAATGCAACTTGGCTTTTCAAAGCAATAGTCTCTTAAATGCTTTGAAAGGAAAACTAAGCGTGCCACAGTGTTCTTTGTCATTATTATTCATTTGGAGGATCTAAATCGGTTCAAGGATTTTCAGACTCCTAATCGTTACATGGACCTTCCCCCTCTAACCAGGCCCCCTCCTCTCTCCCATGTGGATGGCATAAAGTTTAGGTATCAGAAAACCATGCAACAGAGCAGAGGGAATGGCTGTCTGGACACTCTCTTAGAGCAAGCTAACAATTTTTAAGAGCTCTTTCCAATGGCTTCCTGGCTGGATTGCTTATTTGGGGGATTGGGCTCATCACAGAAGCCTTCAGTGTCTCCAATTCTCAACTACGAGTCTGCGGTCATCAATACCAGTGCATAAGTAGCCTCCTTGCCAGTAACAGTCAGCACCAGGATGGATCAGGGACTTCCACGTGGTTTCTGGCAGCAGCACGAACCACTGACATCTACAAGGCCTCAGGCAGCAGCATAGACCATGGACTCAGCATGGTCTCTGGTGACAGTACAGACATCAAAAAGAGAGTGCTTAAAAATTGTGTTGGGGATGTTGAAGTGTAGTTCTTCACAGTTGATGACTTCTGGCTGGTGGGTGGGGAAGGACTCGGTTTTCTTTAAGGGGCAGGCCCCTGGGAATTTGACCATGCTTCAGTGAGCATATAGGCAACACAAATTGGACTTGGTGTATTTTTTCTTTTTTTTTTTCTTCTTTTTTTGGGGGCTGGAGGGCACTAGGGTTGGGGATGTACCTAAGAGGACCCGGAAGTGAGCATCATTAGGATTCTAATCCTAATGAAATTCCAAAATAATCAATTAAAATACTGTGTTTCGGGGTGGTGAGCAAGTAAGCCAGCCAGGTATATTGATTGACACTTGTCCTTTTGCCTGTCTAGGCACCTGAACAGAAGGGAGAAGTCTCCCGGGTTCCCAGATGACTGGGCTGGTGGTAGAAGCTGGTGTTGTCTCTGCCTTCCAGAACAACTTCTAGTGCATGAGGGAGTCCATTTTGCTGTTCATTCATTAAGCTGAGCACGTTTCTCCATCAGTTCATTGGGGGTGGGGAAAAACAATAAGCATATGCCTCTAAGAAAGGTTAGATGGACTGATGAATTCTAGTTCTCTCTGAGGATGAGATAATTTCCCACATAACAACGGTTTAATTTGAAGGCCTTTATTTAGACAGACCCAGGGGTAAGCTGAGATTTATGAACATGCTTGCTGGTTTGCTCTCCCTCTCTGGGTCAAGTCTATTAAATACTATTTTTAAAATGCTAAATGCCACCTCGTCCTTCAAGGGAGACCTAAACTTTGTCATTTGGGTTTGTAGCTATAGAGTGGCTCGTATCTTAGCTCATTTACTTCAATAAAGGAATGTGGTAAGGGGAAGGAAGAGACACAGGAAAAGAGAAAATGGCAACGCTAATGCTATCTTCAAGGACTGGAGGTACCTAGCAGTCTCCAAGTCTCCCGCCCCCACTTTGCTCTTGGAGGGTTGAACATCTATTCAGAAAGATGAAGGCTTTAGTGAGGTATTTGCTGAGAAATTCCATGACCCACCTGGACAATGCACTAGGTATCACCCAGGGCATTTAGGTCTCTGTGTGTTCTGAAACCTAAAATGACTCCTCTGCTTCTTGCTGGTTGGTGGCCTTGGGTGATCTCTGCCTACCCTCTCCAAGATTGTGCTATTAGCAAAAGAACTTTTCCAGAGCCACCCCCTCCTCTCTTGGAGCTCCTATTCCTTTTCTTGCAGTCACAAAGGTAATGGCAACTTCTAGAGTAGCACTGCTCCATCACAGAGGCAGATGACAATCTAGGCCAAGGAAGTTCAATGGCGCCTTCTCCCAATGAGGGTGATCCAATATGAGCGAATCACATACCCTCCCTGGAGTCTGACCTGGAATCAGATGTGCTGTCTTCTTAATGATGACAATAGTACAAGAATGTGAGGCCAGGATTGCCAGCAACAGACTAACCAGATCAATGGCAGAGACAGACAGATGAAGGCAAGAGAAAACTGAAGAGCCTTGACATCTCCTTGAGTCCAGTCATCCATGACATTCACCCACATCTGTGACTTACTTTGTAACCAGTAGATCCCTTTTTTATTTTTGCATAAGCCAAGTCACACTGAATTCTACCAGCTAGGATAGAAAGAAATCTGATTAATGTAGTCACTCGAAATAAGAACCAAGTACGGGGGTGATGAAGCAAATTGGAAAGTCAGAGGATGGGGATGCTTGTGTTCTGCTGACAAACTAAAACATTTGCATTTTACACTTAGAGCAGGCACATTTCTTTGTCTATGTGTGCCATGATAGTAAAATAAATTTTTAGAAAATTTATCAGTATAGGTGTGAATTGCCCAGCACAACCAATGTTTTTACTCATTCTTGTCCTTTGGTCTAGTCTTCCCACTCATTAATTGAATACATTTTGTTGTGCAACCATGTTTCAGGAAATATATGAGGGGGGCGGCATATGATATCAAGGGTAAAGAAGCTTGGTGAGCATAAGAAACCCCCTCCAATGTACGGTTCCACTTTCTATAGTTTTGGGTTATTCCCATTCAATCCCATTACAATATTATATGGGAAAACTAAGAAATAATTCATTAGGTTTGAAATCGAATGCCATTCTGAATACTATGATGGGATCTCATGAAGCCCTGCTCCAGCCAGCCAGGAGTCAATCATTCTTTTGTCTCATGTGTCCATGCTGTATATGCTACTGACCCACTAGTCATTTAGTAGCTGTCTCAGATATCAGATTGATTAGTGTGGAATCTCAGTGAGTGTGCTAGTAATCTGTATGTAATAGCCTGAAGCTGAGTCCCAGGGCTCACATTATTCACCTCCCTCCTTCTGCCACATCATCAGAAGGAGATGAAGGGTGAGTACACTACAGTAAGATGTTTGGAGAGAGACCCTGCTTACATAACTTCTATTGCACTATTTCAACAGCTCCTTTTAATTATTAGCTATTCTTGTTAATCTCTTCATGTGCCTAATTTACAAGTTAAACTTTATTATGGGCATGGTGTGCATATAAAGAGAAAATGTAGTGTGTTCAGAACTATTTATGGCTACAGGAAGTCATTGGGAGTCTTGGAATGTGTCCCCTCTTGGAAAAGGGGGAACCATGGTATTCTAATTTCTTTTTACTTTCAATATTATTGTTGTTGTTGTTGGTTGATGGCACTGGGAGCTGATCCCAGAACCTTAGCACATGCTGTCAGAGATCTCTGCCACTGAGTTCTATCCCTAGTCCCTTCTTTCTTATAGGCATATCTGTCACAGACCTTGGTCTTCAGCTACTCTCATTGTATCACTCTTTTTCAGAATTCCAGATTCCTCTCAAATTGAAGGTTGAGTCAGACAAGTCAGAATCCCTTATTTAAAGCATCATATGGCAAATGCACTATTATAATGTGACTTTAGACAAGTTGCTAGATCTCATACAGTCTACCTCCCAGGGTGTGAGAATGAGACGAATCTTCTGATACAAAATGCTGGTTCTGTGGGTGTCAAAAAAAAACTGGCACCTATCCCCACTCTTAAAAGATGACACAGAAAATATTACACTAAATGCCTTGAGTGTGTTATCGATGACAAGGCTGCCACAGCCACTCACCCTCCTTCAATGATGAAGTACCGAAGCTTGTCATTGCTGTCCCGGGAGGGGGTGGCATAGCATTTGTTGAGTGTGAGGATCAAGTGTGTAGAGTCAGCACCAACCACGAAGACCCCCACATAGAGCACGTCTCGAGTCGTCAACACGACTTCCCCCTGGCGGTAAGGGTGTTTGTAGGAGGCATTTTTGTAGAGTGCCATCTTGGTAGTGAAACTGCCCTCCTGAGTTGGAACTGTTAGGTTGATGACACTAACAAAGAAAGACTCATATGTGAGGCAAGGAACAACAACAACAAAGCCTGTTATTTATTCAATTACCTGCCATTTTCCAAGCTAAAATATAGAGGGAAGGCAGAGCACATAAGGCTGCCTTTTACAATTTAGTCCCTACATGGGGCAATTTACATTTAAATGAAATTAAATAAAATAAAAAATTCAATTTATCAGTCCCCCGAGCCAAATTTCAAATGCTCATTGGTCACAGGTAGTTACTGTATCACATAGTTCAGAAACAAAGCATTCCCACCATTAGTTGAGAGCATTTTGTTTCCAGAAATGTGAATTATGTTTTCTCTGGCGCTACAAAGACAAATGCTAGCTGTTATGATACTCCTAACCTTAGCTGTCAAGGAGAGAGAAAGCATGAGTGCAGCCATGAAACTCTTTACCTTAGCATAGGCTTCACGACAGAGTCCAAGGAGATCTTGATATCCAGCTCATAGGCGCATGAAAATTCCACATTGATCGTGCGGTCCCTAGTGATGATGTTGCCCGTGTTGTTGGCACTCTCTATCCAGATTGTGTTTTTATACATGATATGAGTGCCATTGGACTGCAGAACAAGGGGAGGTCAGAAATCATTAAAATATAGGAGTATGCGGTTAGCATCTCAAACCCATCTCCTGGAATTGCAGAGAAATGGCTTCGTTCCATAACAAACCCAGAGGCTAGAATATATCAGCGTGGAAGCAGCCTCAGCACCAACTGGGGGGAAAGAAGTATTGCCATAGAGAGGAGCAGTGCCCTTCAGTCTGATAACCTTGTGTGCCCATGGAAGGCAGATTCCATGTTCCACTGAATTCCAACTACAAAGCATGAGATACTGACAATACCGGGTGAACATATATTGAATCGGAAATTCTTTTTCAGTCCTTAACTTGAAATCTCTCTAAGAAACATTTTACCAGGTACACTTACAAGTAGCAACTAAACAAGCAAGTTTCACCTCCTTTAAGCCATTCTCCCTCTGATGAAAGCGCTAATGAACAGGGGTATGATCTTTACTACATCACAGGAAGAAACAAGAGATGATATAAGATGCTTCATTAAACCAAATACTGGAAACCCTGACACTAAAAGTCAGGGCCTTTCTGTATTTATACAGCCAACTCCTTTCTTCAGCCAGCATCCTTTTGACATAAAATAGCTGGACCAGGCTCTATTTACCTAGAAAGACAATAGAAGCACATGAAAGGTAACACATATCGCAGATCTATAGAACAAAGGACAGCATTGGGCACTGCCAACCAAGTGTACCACTCAGAATGCTTTTTTTCAGTTCACTCAACCACTTAGCACCAAATGATGATGCTCTTTCTGTCTTTGATTTTTTGCATGTGTGCTCTGCTATTCATCAATAAGTGTGCTTCTAAGCAGACTCCCCCGACTTTAAGGGTGATCAATGTACAAACTCCAGGGGATGTCACTACCTCGGCCAAGTGTTCTCTCCTGCTCCATTTTCTTACCTGCACGATGTTTCCACAGTTCCCTTTGGTGTTGTTGATCTGAAAGGAGATAAAATCCTCCCCCTCGATGCCAGTGCATTGTCTGTCATTGATCCTCACACCCTCTCTTTCAAAACCCAGTTGGAAGAGCTTGCACTTAGATATGGACACTTCCATCTGGGCGGCCTTGCAGGTCACCTCTGCATCGATGATGTCATGGGAATCTGTGGGAACAGTCAGGAGGACAAGCCTGTCAGTGGGAGTAAGTCTTGCTTCAGGGGTAGGCTGGGGCCCCTATGGCTGTGTTTCTTTAGAAGCAGGAAACAATCCACTCAGAGGCTGCAAGCCTTTCTAATTACGTTTTGATCACACCAAATGAGTACATGAAATCATCCGAAGCAATAACTTGGGCGTTGGTGGAGGCTTATTAAAAGATAAAAATGCTAAGAAAGTGCCTTTTGTCTTCTCTGTAGAAACTCAGGCCTTCCTCCCACACATGCTGGTTGCAGGTACTTTTCTGTAAGTGACACACAGAATCTGTCGCAGTGTGGTCTTGCTGAGGAGCAGATGCCTCAGGAAAGCAGCGCTGGCCTGACCCCAACACTCACAGCCCTGGCTTAGCCCAGCTCAAAAGAACCTCCAGTTTGTCCTGGTGAGCTCCAGTAGTAGACTTTTTCTATGAGTGTCAGTACTCAGTAACAAGCACTATAGAAACAAAGAAAAACATTTGCATGTCCCCTCCTATGGAACATTCTAGTCAATTGGGCTTTTATCTTTGAATGATGCTAATATTAGCATGTGCCTATGGGTTATTTGGCTTGGAAAAGGTCATGGAGCCAAAAGACAAAGCACGTGCCCTTTAAGCTGGCATCCAGGTGGGCTCTGCTGAGGACACCACCATTTGTAACCCAGTGAACTGGAGGCTAGGAACAAAAGGAGTGCTGGCTATCCGCTGTTCACATCAAACACTTCAGCCATGTCTTTAGGATCAAACACCTTTGGGCCAGATAAAGCTGGCTTGAGGTCAGTTTCAAGGCACCTGGCACTCTCCTAATCCCTTCTTGCTGGGCATCACACCATTTACTTGTATGGGGGTCTAAAAGAGTGACTTTGGACCTCTCTGACATTACTTGGACTCATGTGGAAATAGCTGATTCTGTTCATATACACATTTTATATCAGATTCCACTGAAGAAAATGATGTAGCTTTGAGGAAATTATCACCAACCTATGTGGAAACTGTCAGATTATTTCCTAGCTCTTGAGTGCTTTGCTTTTGTGTTCCTAACACAGTGTGTGTGGGGGCACACACAGCCCCTTCTCTGACATTTTCCTTGACAAGCATCCTCACTAGACCTTCTGGGTGGAAATGTACTAGTCACTTACTGTTTCCATATGGGGGTGGCTCAATGCATCCACATAATTCTCCTCCATTATCCAGCTCACAGGTCCTGTTGGGACAGTCTGCCCCCACACAGGGGTCTTCAACCACTCCTGCTAAAAAGGAAAACACAGAAACACACAATTTGATTTTCACACCTACATGTAGTAGCAGTAGATTTGACACAGTCCAGTTGGGACATCAGGTGGGTACCTGCAAGTCGACAGACAGGACGACCTCGAGGATGCAATAGCAAGTACTGGTGATTGGACGTTTACTATGGTTCTGCACCATGCCTCAAGCTTTAACTGAATTAGCATGACTGACTCTCACAAATGCTCCTGAAGCTGAGTATGATAACACCAATTTCATTGCTAAAACTTACCCAAGGTCATCCTGGAAAGTCAAGCTGTAGAATTAAAATACAGACTTACTTACCAAGTAATTCTATAATTTCTGTCCCCACCATACCATATCACAATTAACACACCCACCACACTATACATCTAATATGTTTTGTACATATTACAATTACTTAAATTTTCGTTATTTATAGAAAAGTCTCGTCCAAATAATTTGTTTTTCTGTTTCCAGCATGCAGCCATCTCATAGGCAGTGCTCAACAAATATTTATCAATAATAAAAACCTTAGGACTCCTAAGATCCCAGAGAAGCCCCTCCTTTGGGGACTTCTTTGATTTATGGTGCACCTTCTCCACAAATATCTACTTGATCTCATAAAAGTAGGAAGATAAAAAAAACTATCCATAATTCTCCAATTCAACCAACAGTACCATTTTGCTAAAGGGAACAAAGAATAAGGTAACAAGGTGAAAGCTTAGAAGATGTAAAACATAACCTGTGGTTATGAGCAATATTCCTGTAACAGATGACTCTTCGTGAAAGATACCCTGCACCTCTGTCTGACATTCACTAACCAAGAGCTTTCTCTTTAAGAGACCGATCTTTTACATGATGCATTTCCTTCCAGTCAAGAGACAAGAACCCTTGTTGAACGTGCCATCGCTTTTTGCTAAGGAAACACTTGCCCATCAGGAGCTAAGACTGTTTGGGGAGTTTTTATGGGGCTTATAAAGATCACACATGTCAGTTATAAGAGACAAGCTCAGGAGATCAACTGTATATGTGATAGCAACTAATAGCAAGACATTGGGTACTTAAAAACTACTAAACTAGTAGATTTTTAAATGATTCCGTCACAGACACATACAAAAGTCAGGTCAATAACAAAATCCAGGGGCTAGAAAGATAGTTCAGCAGTTAAGGGAACTTGCTGCTCTTTCAGGGGAGCCAGGGTTGATTCTCAGTCCCATATGATTGCTCACAACCATCTGTAACCATAGTTTGAGGGGACTCAGCTTCCTCTTTGGGCCTCTTCATACACCAGACATACACATGATGCAATACATATATGCAGACAAATACACATACGATAAAAATAAATAAATTTTTTAATACAGCTTTCACCACACACACCTTGTTCAGTGTGGCTGCCAAGCCTTTCAAGTGAGTAACTAATTGGACATGGTGAGAATACAGAGTTGGCTCAGCACTGAGCCTTAATTTCTAGAAAGACAAGTAAAGGAAAACCATCCACACCGCTTACATATATTATTCCGAAAAGGCTTTCTGTTTTTAAGACCTTTCACTATTCACCCCACTTGTTCAATGTGTGACACAGGGACAAGCACACAGTGGGCAGTCAGCAAATGGCTAATCGCAACTAAGAATGCCCAAAGAGAACAGAAATGATGAACAGCTTATGGCCCACAGGAAGAACTCTTCCCAAACTATAGAGGTCTATTTTCCACTTGACACACAAAGTATTAACACCCTCCCACAGGAAGAAGCGTGTGTGTCTCTCTCTCTCTCTCTCTCTCTCTCTCTCTCTCTCTGTGTGTGTGTGTGTGTGTGTACAGTTATAGCCAAATTTCAAAGTTCAAACACTTAACTTTTTATTATTTAAAATGTTTTACTTATGAACACAGTAAACTATTAGTTACCAAACAGATTTCCAACAGACTAGTAATGTTCTTAATAGTTTAGGTTCTGAACTGAGTGTACCTCCACGCTTAATCATTTTTATTCTATAGATGCAACAATGTGTGTGTGGTTTGGGAATGGTCCTAGATACATACTGGCCCTTAGATGCACTCAGGGTTGGTATTATGCATCTGGCTACAAACATATTCTCTTGGTAACACCACAATACTGTTCTGATGGAAATGGCCAATTATATAGTGGCCGTTTACGCATATAATTACTTTCCATTTATATGTGTATGCCTATTTTAAGAATTACTTCATTTATTTAATTAACACAATAAAAGGGTAAACACATTGAATCTTGGAAATACTACATACATTGAAGTTTCTTACTGCAGAAAACAATGCATGAAGTAGAAGTTTTTATTTCACCATCTAGTTTAATGGACGAAACCTACAGACATCCATCTGTAGCTTCCTTTGAAGTCATCCCAATGCCTTTCCTTTTCTGATATGGAAGTCATGGTGGAGCTGAGTTGAGAACTAAGAGTAACCAGGAGTCCCAGACTATATCCTTCTACCAAGTCACTAAACTGGTGCTTTTCTAACCCAGAGCTCGCCATCTTCTTCAGCTCCCTTTTCGTTACAGGTGAGCTAGGCTCCCCTGGAAATGCTCCCTTTGAACTCCAGGGGCCGCTCACAGCACCCTCCTCTCCACCCCATGGAGCACATGGATAAGTAAAGATGGGGTGGACCTGACATCTGGCAAAGCATTGCTACCCACAAAGCACCCACATAAATAAAAGAATTCTCTTACAGCAGTTCTCCTTCTCAATCCACTCGGTGCTAAGGATGCCGAAGGAGCGGCAGGCCTCCCCGTAGGCAGCCAGGGAGCCACACAACTGGAACTTCTTGTGGTTGTAGCAGCCATCCAGGTAGCAGGACTCGTAGAAGGGTAGGGGATCAAGGAGCCCATAGCAGGGCTGAAAGAAGCCTTTCATGTCGGTGAGCTTCAGGCAGTAGCCGTCACCCTGCATGGTCTGGATATGGGCATTGTCACAAGTGGCTGCGTACTGTGAGAACTGAAGCTCGTTGCAGCTGGGGGAGAGAGGTCTGGTCAGAATGAGTGAAGCAAAACCAGCTATCTGAGTTTTCCCACAGAAGGTAAGACCATGTCTGCTGTACCTGTCGGGCTAGCTAGCCCTGACGTTCAAATAACATGCAGATATCAATGCTAACCAGCAAGGTGACCTTAGGAAAGCCAGGCTCCAATGGTCTCTACCCACTTAAAAAAGTGAAACAAAGTGTTGTTTATATCCCTGGGATAGAGTGAAGACAAAAATACCAGAATGGACTAGTAGCCAAAGGGCTACATGACAACAGGTATTGATATAACAACCATTCACACTTTGATACAGTTCACTGATATCATTGACATAAATAACTAGGAACAGCGTATCGGTAGAATAACAATAACAACAGTAATGATGCCAGCAGAATGAAAGACCCATGAGGAAATTCAGGAGCTTCTAGCCGGTTCCAATTTAGCTGTCAGAGATCAAAAGCAAAACTTCTGCAAGAGAGCTGTGTGCAGCTGAAGATAGTTCCCAGAAGGAAAAACAAAGAAAGACAGGAGGAAACTAAAACCAAATGAAAACAGAAACACAGCCTCTCTAGGGACTAGGACCTTATTGGTGGGAAACCCAGAATGGCATAAATGTCCAAAAGCAGCTGTTGTACCTGTGAGCCACTGAGTGGGATGTAGAGGGAGGCAGCACCAAATTAGGAGTCTAGTCCTGGCTTGGCACTCCTAGGACCTCCTTGCGCAAATAAGCCATTTAGAATGTTTCTCCAAGTAAACAGAGACACCCAACTGGATGCTATAGTCCTTCCCAGGTCTGGGTCCACTGGTTTACTTGATCATCTTAACATGATGTATTATTCAGGGTTTGCTTAGGGTGAGGCCAGAAGCTTGGAGCACTCTTCCTACAGCCGGGCACTTAGACAATATCTGACATGTTGGGCATGATTGGATCAGGCAAAGAAATGTCAGAAAGGAGAAACATGTTCACAGAGCCAGGAAGGTGTCTGCATGATTCTGCAGCCCAGGGAAATCCTAAATCAAGATCCTTTGCAATAACTTATTTATCTGTGTCTCAGCTGGCTGGAGGGGAGTAGCTGATAATCACCTCTATAACCCATGTTTTCAAAAAGTCTTCCTTGATTCAAGCATCAATAAGCCCTTCTGGGAAGAGTCCAGGTTACCCAGGAAGCCCCAACACCAGGGAGCAAAGGGCTGCCTTTCTTCTGTGCCAACCCTCCATCCTATTCCCAGCAGAGGACCCTAGGTCTCAGGTAGATAGCTGATGACAGCTTCAGTTCTAATGCCAGGTACGTTCTTCTGAATGGCTGAGAGCAGAATCACGTGACAATTTAGAATTCTATCATCTAAACCCAGCTCCTGCAGTTGGAAAAGTTCCTGGGGCTTCCAATGCACTAAACTCCAAAGGCTAAACTCAGAGTTCTGCATGACAGGAAGGAAGATGTCACTAAGAAAGGTGCACTCCCTGTTTGTACTTCCTATGGATGTGGGGAGATTGGAGCAAGGAGTGCATGGTCATGGTTTGGATACTGGGATATACTCACCTCTTCTGCATGCCATTGGTTTTCCAGCTCTGGGCCAGTACCACACTGCTCACCACTGGTTTCCCCCGCAAAGTCACATAATCATCAGTCATGTCTCCATTGAAGTTGCCACAGAGGCCACATACTTTGTTCTGCAGCCTCTCACTGATGCTGATTTTGATGATGTTGAAGCCATTGTAGTATATCTGGATGTCGGGGCTGGTGTCAATCACCAGAAACCCCTCGCTGCTGTAGATTTTGGTTGCCAAACCAGTTATAAATGGAACATTTACTTGTGTGCCGTTTACCTAGTAGATGCAGAAAGATAGGAAATTCTTACCTGAGGGCTGGGATTGGCCCATCTCTTCAGCAAAGGCCAGATGTTACAGGCCCTGTCTTCTCTACCACAATTATTCAATGTTGCTTTTGCGCTGAGCCATGAATCATCATGTGTAACAAAGTGAGTGGCTCCCTTCCAATAAAGCTTTATTTACAAAGACAGACAGGTGGGGAGGCAGCTCAGTCAGCACAGTGCTGCCCTCAAAAGCATGAGGAACCCACATCGAAAAGGTTAGGCATGGTAGCTCATGCTTGTAATTCCAAAGTGGGGGAGGAGAAACAGGAGAATCTCTAGAGTTTGTAGGGCAGCCAGTCTAGCCCACTCCTCAAGTTCCAGGCAGGTGAAAGACTTCATCTCCAAAATAAAATAAATACATAAAGGTGGACAGCTCCTGAGGAATGATACTGGTGGCTATCCTCTGACCTCCACAAATACCAGAGCACACTTGTGTATACATACACATTAACACACAGACACAGCAAGTGGATTTGGCCACAGGCCATAGGGTGACCACCCCTACCCTAGAGTTTAGGGACACATACACTTATCCTGCCATTTAGGGACAGAAAAGTTAAGAGGGAAGACAACATCAGAATAGTATTTCCCTCTGTGAATGAATAGATTTTTGTATTAAACTTTCCCCAGCATCTACCAGTTACTGAGAATGACATCATAATCTTGTTCTAAGGGGAGTCCAACATGGTTACAATGGACCTGGGGATTGCTGCCATGTTTATTGTTTTCTTATTTATAATGTGCAAACCTGAGGCCTTCCCAAGTGTCTTATAAACAAAGTATTTTCTACGTTTGTTATTTTCCTGCTTTATAAAATTTCTTAGCCCTTGGGATTGGATATAACATGTTTTTCCTGTACTTACAAAATAATTGGATCTCCCCCACCATGATTATTAATAATGCTGTTCCATTTAAAAATGACTTTTAAAAATAATTCTGCCTTTCCTTTTGGCTAGCTTGGGGTATTATTCGGCAGTGATATCTCCTGAGGGTCACTATCACCTCTTCCTGTGTTCTCCCCAGTGTGGCTGTGTCCATGCAGGCCAATTTGCAAAAGGAATTGGAGTGTCAAAAACAGTTGCAGCTTTCCTGGAAGTTAAATGCCAGCAGTAAAATCCAGATTCTTCTTTTTAAGCTTGCAGAAAGCCGGCCTGTTGCCTGACACTGTGCACTAAGCTATTTGGTGACTCTTTAAAATAAAGGGTCATTCAGTGCTAGGGTTAGCTGAGCTGGCAATGGAATGAACAATATCCCAGAATATATTGATATGGCTTTCCTTCTCCAATCCCCACCTCTTACCTGAGTTCCCTGTAATGGAGCCTGGCTCCATCTTTTGGGTCAACCTGGTGTGGCCAGTCTGGTATAGCTGCAGACTGTGGCTCAATAGTACATAGGGCAGCTCATTTTCCTAAGTGGAATGAGTAGGGTATTCAAACCAAATAGTAGTTATGGAGGTGAGTGTGCCCTTCACATGTATTTACATACTGGTCTTAGATTTACAAGCAAAAACAACCAAGAATCAATCTAAGATAAATTCGACATTTCTTTCAGTTGGAATGCCATCAGGCAGCCTCTGGTAGAGGGGCATGCTCTATTGGGCTTCATTTCCATCTTTGTTTTTACAGGCAAGTGCTTGCCTTCTCTTTTGAGAAAGTATGGCAGAGATGAGGATTGGTTTTAGTATGAGTGGGCAACACCAAGAATAATTTCAAAGACTCTTAACTACTAATGAGATGCCTTTTAGAAATGAATCCAGAGCAAAAGTGGCTTATCTACTGTTTGGCTACCTGAGCTCCATTGCTGGTCTGCTGTAATTATAGCTGATGCCTTTTAGAAATGAATCCAGAGCAAAAGTGGCTTATCTACTGTTTGACTACCTGGAGCTTCATTGCTGGTCTGCTGTAATTATAGCCTGAGAAGCTAAGTTTCCTGCAAGGCATTTGTGGCCCATTCTTACACCCACAGGAGTCTCTTGTTTCAGTTCTCTAAAATTTGGCCATGTGTCTAGGATACTTGGAACAATCTCTTGTTATCATTCAACTCAGTTATTTGGGATAAACTACAACGAAGAGCCCACTATCAAACCCCTAGTTTTTAAGAATCAAACCTTAACAGTGTTCCGGTCATTGATGAGAATCTGCTCTTCGTTAATGTAGAAATAGACAGGTGAGATGATGGTGAGGTTGGGCGAGGACCACTTGTCAAAGTTGATGATGAGCTGGAAGGAGATGTCCGGCAGTTTCTGGCAGATGGTGGAGAGCACGAAGGCACAGTTGGCTGGGAAGCGCAGGAAGGCACCGTCGAAGGTGCGGAAGACCCCACCCCCTGCGGCCAAGCAGTAGGAGGTCTTGGTGCTGAAGCAGCCACGCACCCCACTGCGCAGGGCACACTCCTCGTCTGACTTGCACTGGCGTGGGTCGCACTGGATCAGGTTGCGCCTAAAGCAGCGGCAGCGCCTTGTGCAGTCTCCATTCCAGAACAGCTGCTTGGGCTGGAATAGAGGTTTCACTTCCAGTTAAATTGTGACTTCGAATTGCAGTCAAGGTTGGAGACCCCAGAGCCCCGCCTAGGCTCCCTTTAATAGGGCTGGGGTTAGCACTACAGCTTGGATTCAAACGCTTATCCCTTTGATGCAATTCGGAGGCCAAATAATACGCAATTTAGACTTCATTGGTTTCAATCAAGAACTCTGGAATCTTTACGGTTGGGGTTGTTGAACTAATCAGAGCCTGCCTGACTGTGCAGCGAGCTGTTAGAGGAGCTAGGTGAAGAGGAAAAATACATTGTAGATTTTAAGCCTGAGAATCATGCTTCTAAGAAATATAAGCTCCCCTTTAAGATGGAATTTAAATTCACTTGGGAATGAGAGACCGGTGCTTTAACTCTCAAAAAGAAAATGATAATCAACTCCTATGATCAACCATTTCCAACATTTTCCAATACTCACCCTTCCAAGTACTTCCCTCACTCCAGCCTACTTCTTCTACTTCAAGCACCTCCAGTTCTCTGGGTGCTAAGGGTGAGAGGTCTAGCCAGCATCTAGGCCTCATAAAGGAAGCTCTAGGATCAGGCCACTGCACATCGGTCCCAGCCTTGTCACCCTGTTGTATATGCCATCTGGGAATCATCACTAATTCCTATAGTGTCAGTTTGTTCATCTGAATTGGAGGTCATAATCACATGTCACAGGGCATTTGTGAAGGTCAAGTTAGATAAGACATGGAAAGCACATGCCCTGGCATCAAGTAACCACTCAATAACTACTCATGCTGTTATTCTTACAGAAAGGCCACTTGGTCTCCTTCAGAGGAATTCCACAAAATCATTTAAATGCCTATAGCACAGTGCCTCCTCAACAGGGGGAGGTACTGTTTTATAGTCTTCTCCAGATGGGCAACAATCTGTAGAAAAATTCTACTTAGTAGAGTTTATAGTCTTAATCTTGTATTTGCTCTAGATTGGGAACATTGGGAAACAGTCATGGCCACCCACATGGGAGGACCACAATATGTAGAATGTGAGAGATTAGGCTACTCCATGCCTTTCAGGCTGATCATCACTTGTCACAAGTGCTAAGGACTAGAAGAGTTTAGAATTGGGAGTTTTTTGGACCTAAGAGTTAATTGCATGTATATGATGAGATATCTTGGGAATAGGACCCATGCTCAAACATGAAATTCATTTATGTTTCATATACTCATTCTACATTTAGCCTGATAATTTAATATAATATTTTGTATGACTTGGGTCAAAGTTTCATAGTGTGGAATTTTTTACTTGTAGTATCAGGTCACAGGTCAAGGGGCTTTATATTCTGTAGCATTTTGTATTTCAGATTTTTGGATTAGAGATATATAATTTATATCAATTTACCAGACAGAAAAGATGTCTTAAGACATACAAAGGAGCCTATGATTCTGTCTGGTCACTGTTTTCTTCTCTAACTACAGATTTAACAATACCCTGGGATTGACTGATTTCGACTCAGATTCAAGGGTGAACAGAGGGCAAGCTCTTCCAACCAGTGCATCATTCATCTTCCAAGTGAAGACATCAGAAGCCAGGTCCTTGCTCCTTCTAGATCTGTAACATATTCTGGGTCCCAGAAGCCTCACAAGCTGACTTCATTTCTTTTTATCAGATTTATACAATAATGGAGTGGTTGGCCTGGCCCTTGTCTGATAAGAACACAGACATTACATTGGTGGGAAGGGAAAAATAACCTGATGTTTGTGGATCTAACCAGGGGTAAATAACTCATCCACAGAAGAACTTGATTGGGAAGCCAGCATCAAAGGAAAGTGTTTGGCCCCATGCTGCTTTCTTTACCTTAATTAGACATGACAATGACAGCTGGGTGATTACCCTCCATGCTAATGACTAGATGTGTTCTCTCTTTATTTCCAAAGAAATCTGCTATATAAACAAGCCTCCGAGCTTGTTTGAATTGAGGCAAATGAATGTGGATTATTTGTTCTGTGACTTTGCCACTTCCCAGATATAAGCTGTTGTCAAAACCCACTGACTTTCTGATGAAAAAACAGATAATAATGTTTATAGAACTAATAGCTGACAAGGGTCGTTATGAGACTTTCTGGGGGATTCCAAGTTTCCTATATTCACCATTTCACCAACATGCCTGGATATTTTTTTTTATTTACTTACAAAATGTATCTCAAGAGATGAGAGCCACCACCCTAACAACAGCAATTACCAATCACTGGAGGACTGGATGCTGGGTACCAGGTTGGGCAACTAGCATGGGGCATATGAATGACGCTACTGAGGAGTCACTTGTAACTACATTTCATTCATAGGGAAGCAGAAGGTCAGTGAAATGACACAGTTGGTTCAATACCACTCCTCCAACAATGAGACAGTCAGGACTAAGCTCAAGCCCTGTTCCCTTCGGTCACACTGACGCTTAGGATCCCTGTGAAGGGGTACATGACACAGCTAATAGACAGACATATTTGAGCCATCTCCGGGCTTGGAGCAGAGTCTAGAAGTGTGCTCTTTGAGTCATCGCTCCCAGGTGAGGAGAACACAGAAATGATTCTCTCCCACACGCTCTGCCTCGTGCCCTCAAACCATCTTCCTAAGACTTAACTTGGGCACCAGCTCTCCGGGGAAGCCCTCTTATTAATTCTACTATTCTATGTTACGTTCACCCTGTCTTTCTCATATAACCCCCAAATACCTTTGCCAATGAAAACGAAATTGAGCATAATGCCTACATTTCTCTTCTTTTATTTATTCCCCAAATAAAGGTAGCTCAGTCAATCTCAAATGAGTCAATGCATCTTTACAGAAAGGAGACATTATTTATTTTTGCCTAGTTGAGTTCCAGTTCAGACACTTCAATTAGATTTCTGGCAAGCTCTCCCTCCTTCATTTAAAATTGATCTGCTCTGCAGGGTATCATTTTTCACTTGTTGATATGTTATTTTGTAATTGTTTCCTTTTTTAAAGCACAATTTTTGTTTCTCTCCTGAATAGGTATTTTTGAGTCCCTTAAGTCAGGGAACACACTGACTTGTCCTTTGAATGCTACTAGAATAGGGGCTGGCACACAGCCAATGAAGGCTCAGTAGGTGGAGTTAACTGTCTACTCACATTTAAATGACTGGCTGAAGACCTTCTCATTAAGGCTTTTCTTCACTCGGTGTTATGGGACATTACCTATTAGAGGGCTAAGGATGTGCCTCCATGGTAGAACACTCTCCCAACATGTTCAAGGACCTGGGTTCTATCCCCAGTACCACCTCTTCCTCCAAATATAAATAGTAAAGTGATTTAGCAAGCCAGTATGTTTTCTTGGGCAATGTGGAGGAGGGGCCAGTTCATCAGCATTCTATTTATGCACCCCTGTCCCCACCCCACCCAGCAAGAAGCAAAAGGTGGGAGGTAAGCAGTCAAGACTCAACTGTGTTCAGATGATATGAGAATGACAAATGGCACATGTGTGGGAGCTTCAACAGCCAGAGAGGGAAGGCCACTCCTCCCAGCCTCCAGCCCCATATTTTCTGCTTTAAAACATCCTTAACGGAGACAGCCCACAAATGTCAGATTCACAGCCACTGTATTTCCAAACTAGAGCCCTGTCAGAAGCTTTCAGACCAAGATTTACAGGGAGGCAGTCAGAAAGGCATGAGAGAGAAGAGGAGGAGGAGGCCTGGCCCATGCAGAAGAGGCAGGAGTGAAGCCTGGCTGCAATTCCAACTCTCACAGAGAGCAAAGCTCTCCCCAGACCACTGCTCAACTTCTCAGTTTCAGCTCACCTACCCTACAGTAATCCCCACATTCATCATAACTGAGCAGCTCTGGCTGCCCTCTTGACCTTGGAGAAAAGGCAGCCTGGTATGGAAGAAGAGGCCAGCTGCCTCCTGTACCCACCTCGTAGTATTTGCCATCAGAGTAGCAGCCGCAGTTGTGGGGCAAGATGCAGCTCTTGCCATTGAGGACATAGCCCGCATCACACTGGCAGCCCTCCACACAGTAGTGATTGCAGTCACTCTTCAGGCGGATGGCAGCACAGCGAGGCTGGCAGACACTCACACAGCTCTCATAGTGGCTGTTGGGAGGGCAGGTGACCGCTGGAACAGAAGGGACTAGTCAAGTCTGGCAAAGTCACAGGGAACTGTAAATGGCTTTCTCACAGCCTTGCTTAGGGAGGTGGAGGGTACAGAGTGAGGGAAGTGGTGTGAGGCTTGCCACTCTCTCTCATTCATACCCTTTGCTTATGAGAAGCCTCTGCCTAATCCCTTAAATATCAGCCTGGAATGCAAAGGGAAGGGGCTGGAGCCTTCTCACAGAATCTTCAGCCTTTCTTCAGTGTTGGCTTCTGCACTCTTTATTGCCTGCCACTGTAAAAACCCACCAGTCACAACAAATCCCCATTTGGGCTAGAAAAGGCATGGACACCAGTCCTGCCTCCTGGGCTTCATCATATTGATCCTCTTATTCATAACCCACTTACCCCAGCTCCCCATTCCTCAGGTCCCACTTAGATGTAGTGGCCTTCCCCCTATTATCAGTGTCACCTACCCTCACCTCAGAACTTCCATAGAGCTTTCTGTCTAAACAGGTGGTTTATCAGCAAGAGTCTCCTGAATCACATGATACCTGAAAGTGTGTAGTGTGTAGTTGTGTGTGTGTGTGTGTGTGTGTGTGTGTGTGTGTGTGTGTACATTGACCTGAATCATTTATATTCTACAGGTCTGAGACACATCTAAAACTGCATCTCTGAAGGGTAGAGAAAATACTGGTGAATACTGTTGGGCTCAGATTATTTAGGATCTCTAAGCCTCAACTTCTTTGTGCACATAATGCGGATACCAACACATAATGCGGATAACACCAGCACCTGAATTTGTATGCTTAGAAGAGTGTTGGGCAGGTAGTGGTCAATAAGTATTAACCAATCATTAAAGCAAGTCTCGCTTGAAAGTTTTATTGAAGCTGCTATCTTAATCAATGCACACTAAAAGCACAACAACCATTTATATGGAAACTTCTATTCCATGCTCTATGGACGGTTTGGGGAGGGTTGTCTTTTGTCTAGTGGTAAAGAGACACTTTTAGAGTGCATAGTCCTAAGAATTTTAATGCATGGGTATGTTCATCTAAGCACTATCATAGTATGCTATTACATTTCCAAAAATGTTTAGTTTAAAAGATAGTATCCTTGTGTCATAGAAAACACAAACTGCCTAGGCTCAATAACTAACAAATTATCATGGATTTTTGCATAAATTGTCTATGCACACAGATTCATGTACATGTCCACAGCCTTGGTTTTGCATAAATGAGAGCATCATCTACAAAACTTGCCACACACTGCTTTTTCACAACAATATTTCTTCAGTCTCGAATTATTGTCTTTACACAGCTTCAAGGTGTGTGCCTTTTCCGTGAATATCATCATATGTGTATTTTTGCCCTCATAAATTAGGCTGCAGAATAAGTTCCCAAAAGTGGAATTTTTAGCCAAAGGATAGGAATATTATTGTTGTTGCTGTGGCTGCTGCTACTACTACTTCAGTGCTGGAGAGCCAACCCTGGTCTCACATATGCTAGGTAGGCACTCTGCCATTGAGCTATGCCTCTAGGCCCTTAAGTCTTTGGCAGATACCAATGAGCTGCCCTAGAAGGGAAGAGATTGTGCCAATGAACAAGCAAGAAGATTTAGTCTCCTGAGGTCTTGATGACTACCACCATATTTTCTCATTTCTGGAAATGTGGAAAGAAAAGAAACCTATTTCTGTTGTATGTGCATTTAGTTCGAATTTCTTTGAGTCTTATTATCTTCTCATTTGTTTATATTCATTTTTCTGTCTCCTGAGAGTTGCCTCTTCTCATCTATTACACACTGTGTTGTTGAAGTTTCTTCTTATTAAACTGTAAGTGTTCTTTATAAATTAAAAATGTGCTTTTGTGTGTTGCATGTATTATAAAATATTTATCATTTGTCTCTGACTTTGCTTCTTTTAAAAAAATTTGCACTTTTTTAATTATGTTTTTTGCCATGTGGGGAGGTAAAAATTTTATGAGGTCAAATTTATCTGGTTTTCCTTAGCATCTTTGAGAGTGTGACGGGGGGGGGGGGGGAAAACCAAAATCCTTTTTTTTCTTTTTACTGCTTTTATA